CTGCCAGTCTTAAATGCCAACCTATCTTCATTACTCTTCCTTCTTAGGTTCTTCTTTTATAGGAAAAGTTTATCTCAAATGTAAGAATAGTACATTTATGAGTATTTGCTAAAAGAAAGGAGATTGAAATGGTCAGCAGGAGGCTTGGCTAAGAACATAAGCCTTTGGAGAAAATGCTCAGGTACCAGGGATGGTTTTTGTCCATGAGAGAAGCAGTACCTGGTGGAAAACACCTGAATTTCTAGGGTGTTATAGCTTGAAATTTGAAAGAGAGCTGAGACTTTCTGCATCTCACGTACAACACCTGCCTTGTGACCGTTTTTCTTTCTGCTGCCCTCTCCCAAACTCTGCCCCTCAGATAGCCCGTGGCTGGAGCAGCCCGAGGTGCAGCTGCTGCTGCAGACTGTCATTAATGTGCTCCTGCCGCCTCGCATCATCAGCACCTCCCGGAGCAAGAACTTCATGCTCGAGAGCTCCCCGGCCCACTGCTCCACCCCCGGCGACGCAGGGAAAGACTTGCGCAGGGAAGGGCTGGCCGAGTCCACCAGCCAGGCAGCATACTTGGGTGGGTATTCTTCTCTCTCTCTAGGAGCGTGCGTGTGTGTATATGTGTGTATATGCGCAGAAATGGATATATGAGTGTACTCAGTTAATTTCCCTCTTGACTCAGGGAATAGTCACAGAGACTTCAATCCAGAGAATATGTAAAGAAGCCATTTGAACCAGAAATATTACCCTTGCAAAAGAATCTGTTTTCCTTAAGAAAACATATGCCACAAGCACACATTGTCTGCAACGCCTGAGTTACTGAGTTGTTTTTATGAGAGTGTCTGGGCATGTAAGGAGGCCTCTGCGGTAAGGATTCCTCTTTGCTGATTAAGTACAAGATCATTGGTGAGATTTGGTGGCTGTTATCAGATCTAGACTCAGTCCAGTATACTAAAGACCTTGCATCGCACAACTCACAGAGCGTGAATGGTCCGTCCTCTACGTGAGTAGAGCCCTGGAGTGGGAGCCCTGCCCACACTGTGCACAAAGACGCAGTGACCTCGCAGCCTCTTATGCCTCCTGCCGGTTCTTTTCCTTCCCTCTCGACGTCATGGTTAATCTCCAGCTTTACCTTTGCTCTAGTGAGGCCAGTCTGCTTATTCCCCTCACCCCAGCTTGCCAATTCCCTTCCCCTTTCATTCCCATCTCCCCTTCACCTCATTTCTTCCTTTAACTTGCTCCTGACCCATGGCATAATGGAAAGCCACTCTTTGGCCTTGAACGAACTCTTGCCATAGCACTGAGAATAAAGAGCTCTGGCAGCAGGAATTTCAAAGTGGACAAAGTCTTGCCCGACATTTTTCAATTCACCAAAGCAGGTCTTGGTGGGAAGTGAAGATGAATGCAGACGCTCTAATAAAAACAGGGCCTTGGAATTTGGAGTGTGGGGGTTATTTTGGATTGTATTTTGAAGAGATGTGTTTGGAAATGCTGTGATTGACGACAAGAATGGAAAAGTAGGGAAAAAATCCAAAAAATACATTTGCACCAGATCCACCCACATGGATGCTCAGTTGCCCGGGCATACAAACAAGTAGGGTTTAGATAAAATTTTGTTTACGTGGCCAGGCTACTGAACTTCTATTTTAAATTTATTCTTACATTTATTTTGAGCATTCTGTCGTGCACTGTGCAGTTTTCTGTGCTTTATATTATCATCACATTGAATGGTCGCATCCCCACGATAACCCTAAAAAGTGAATGTCATTCTCATTTTAGGGGTGAGGAGGCCAGGGCCCAGAAAGTTTGAGTAACTTGCCTAGGACACACAGAGTTGATCATTGTCAGAGCCAGGTTTCAAATCCAACCCATCAGGCACCAGAGTCTCTGTCTTTGAGCCCTTGTTACATGCCATCGTGTGCTGGGCTGATGGCGGTGAAGGTGGCCGGAGGAACGGCCGAAACCCAGAGGCGGCAACAACAACCTAGTAGCAGTGAAGGGTCACTAGAATCAGGGTCGGGAAAAAGGAGTGTTGCTTTTGTTCATTCATTTTCTTAGCTGAGGGAAAGGAATTGACGTGAACAATTCTATAAAGAGTGAGATTCTGAGGATCAGTTTAGGCAAGAAAGTACCCTCTAACATCTCTCTCTGTGGGTTCCATGGCATGGGTCTCCCCCGGAAATGATGTGAAGAGGGTAAAGCTGTATGTGACTTTCAAGGGCTTTAGAGGGTTGGATTTCTGGGAGCGATTAGAAGTTCGGTGCACTGAAGAAAGATGATTGTGTTCTCCTAATCAGCATTAAAACATGTTTCGGCACTTTTTGGATGCTGAGGTGGAAGGGCCTCGAGACAAGAACAGGAAGGCCCAGGTTCATGTGCTTGCCCTGGGCAGCCCCTGTGGTGAGGGCCAGCAGAGGCAGCTCCCGTCACAAGCTTTGATATCTTCACAATACTTCTGTTTGTCCTAACGTACCATTTGGGAAAACTGCTTCCTAAAAATAATAAATAAAATTAAAAAAAAAAAAAGAAAGGCTGCTAGAATCTGGGAGGAAAGAGATAATGTAAAAGAAATTCAACCGGGTATAGTAACAGACATAATGTCAGTGAAAGAGAAGGAGACAGAGACAAAGAGGTGTGTTGCATCTGGACAGATACGCTCAGATGCGTTTACTGCTTATCTGTGGGGAGAAGTTTAGGCTGGGGTCAGCAAGGCAAAGGACTTAATTTTTTTCTCTTTTTTCTTTTTTGTAGAGACAGAGTCTCACTTAATCACTCTCAGTAGAGTGCCGTGGCATCACACAGCTCACAGCAACCTCCAGCTCTTGGGCTTAGGCGATTCTCTTGCCTCAGCCTCCGGAGTAGCTGAGACTACAGGCGCCCACCACAACGCCCTGCTATTTTTTTGTTGCAGTTGGCCGGGGCCAGGTTTGAAACCGCCACCCTCAGTATATGGGGCCGGTGCTCTACCCACTGAGCCGCAGGCACCGCCCCATAATTATTCTTTTGATTTTTTACTTTTTTCAGATTAATATAAGGATGTGTATGATTAGGTTACATTGTTTGATTTGTAAGGTCAAATGGAGTTGTAGTTGAGTCCTTTACTCAGGAATTGTGTCACAGACCTGTACGTTATACCCATATGTTGTACCTGTTCCATGGGAATTAATGAACCTCTTTCGACCTTCTTGAATTTAATTGTGTTTTTCTCTCATGTGGGCCTGTAGTTGTTAATAGGACTGAATTTTTTTAAGTTTGTGCATGGTTTGATTTTATTTTTATTTATTTATTTATTGCAGTTTTTGGCCGAGGCCAGGTTTGAACCCGCCACCTCTGGTATGTGGGCCTGGCGCCCTATTCCCTGGGCCACAGGTGTTGCCCTGATTTTATTTTTAATTATACAAGGCTAGGCACACTGGCTCGTGCCTGTAATCTTGACAATCTGACAGGCTGAAGCAGGAGAATCACTTGAGGCTAGGAGTTTGAGACCAGCCTGGGCAACACAGTGAGGCCCCATCTTTGGTGGCACATGCCTGCTAGTCCTAGCTATTCATTAGGCTAAGGCAGGAATAGCTTGAGCTTAGGAGTTCCAGGCCACAGTAAGCATGATCAAGCCAGTGTAGCCTGGGAGACAGAGTGAGACCCTGTCTCTAAAAACAAGAGAATATAAAACAACAATATAAAATGAAGTAAAAAACAAAAAATAAGGTATTTATTTCCATGACTAATAAAAGGAAAATATTTTTTAAATCCATATTTTAGCTGAGGATGTGAGTGATATGTGGGTATTACCTTAAAGCCACTATGACAAAACTTTCAGAAAATAAAATATTGGTCCCACACCATATTTATACAACATGTCCCTTTCCCTTTCGGGCACCACATTGCTCTATATTCTCTAAAATAGAAGTTCATTGCATTTACGAAAACTATTTGTGTTCTAATCAGAATCAAAATGTTGACTACACTAATTTTAGTATTGATGTCCAGAACGCTCTTGCTCAGGAGTACACATTAAGCTTTTGGAAGCATGGAAAGAGTTTAGAAATTTAGAATATTTCCTGGTGCATACAGAGCTGTGGATGTGGGTCAGGCTCCTTGGAAACACTAGTCTTCAGGCTCACTTTTCTCTTTTTCTGGTGTGAAGCGCTGAAGGTGATCCTCGTCTGCTTTGAGAGGCAGCTTGGAAGCCAGTGGTACTGGCTTAGCCTCCAGGTGAAGGAGATGGCTCTGCGGAAGGTGGGAGGCCTGGCCCTGTGGGACTTCCTCGACTTCATCGTGCGGACAAGAATACCCATCTTTGTGCTCTTGCGCCCTTTCATCCAGTGCAAGGTGGGGTGTGTGCTTCTCCTGGAAGTGACAAGCCCCATGGCTGTGCCACTCTCCAGGGAGGCGGGGTTGTGGCTACAGTGCTCACGGAACATGTTGTCACCAGTTAGCAGGGCCTGTGAATACCATGCCTGATGAGGAAACAGCCCCAAAGTATATCCCAGAGGATAAAATTTCAAATTAGAAGTACGTTCAAACTGATGACCCCCCACCCCCACCCTATCTGCCCATTAGAAAGATCAGCCTGGTGGAATGATCTGGAGAATGTTCTTTCATCTTCAGTGACATGATGGAGATCTGATTTTTAAATAAACATATGAAAAAGATGGGATACTTAAAGCATGTTTTTTTCCTTCAAGACCCTCAATACTCATCTCTTTTGTCCTTTTCATGCTCTGATTGCTTGGGGCAGTGATTCAAAATAATGTATTTAATACCCACTTCCTATATGAAGAATTGATCTAAGAATTTCACATGCACTACCTCGTTTATTCCTCACAACTATGAAGTAGGTACGATGATTAGCCCATTTTACAGAAGATTGAGGCTCTGAGAATGCCATGTCTTCCTTTCAGCTTCTGGCCCAGCCGGCAGAGAATCATGACGAGCTTTCTGCCCGGCAACACATTGCAGACCAGCTGGAGCGGCGCTTCATACCACGCCCATTGTGTAAGAGCTCGCTCATTGCTGAGTTCAACAATGAACTAAAAATTCTAAAAGAGGCAGTTCACAGTGGGTCAGGTGAGTACATGTGGGGGTATTTTGATTTTGTTTGATTAATGGAACTCACAGCCTACAAAGAATCCCTCTTCTCAGGTCACAACTCATTTTGGAACCATGAATAAGTTAGCCATTTGGGTACACAGCTAAACTCTGTTCTATGATCGTTCCCAATAGCGAAACAGAAATCAAAGGGGCATCATAAAAGTTTAATTTTATTCCTCTTCAAAATATTGTTCTTCTATTTTCATTTTAGTAGTTAAGCTCTTTCTGAAATAATTAATTGGAGGGAAAAACCTATTTTAAATTCTTACTTTCATTTCCTTTTTGAAAAAGAGTTGAGCTTTGATTTTTTGGTAGATTATTTCACAGATGTTTTTCCCTTCCATTGCACAAATACTTGAAAAGTGGATAACTGAAAGTCCACTTAAATAACAAGGAAACTGAGCCTCAATAGAAGTTAAATAACACATAGAAACTGCTACTAATAAGGGGATTTTAAACCAAATCTGTATGACTTACTATAAAGACTTTAACATTTTACAAATTGGAATGGGGAGGGTTGAATAAGAGTTGGCAGGCTAGGAGGCACTTTATTTACATTATTCAAAAGATTTTCTTTGGGGGCAGTGCCTGTGGCTCAAAGGAGTAGGGCGCCGGCCCCATATGCTGGAGGTGGCGGGTTCAAACCCAGCCCCAGCCAAAAATTGCAAAAAAAAAAAAAAAAAAGAAAAATTTCTTTGGAAGTACATTGCTTACTTTTATAAATTATTTTAAATCATTATATGCCATTAGAGGGCAGTCCTTACCCACAAGTAAAATAAAACATGTATTTGGGGTTTTTTGTGTGTGTTTCTTTCTAAAGCTTTTATTGTTCTTTGCAGACAATGTGTTAAAGATACAAATTTTGACAATCCACAATCTTGGTGAAATCTTTACACTGCTATTCAAATATTCTGCCTGATAATAAAATAATCTACCACAAAATAATGTGTATTTTGTAGGTTGTAATTTCCAGAAAAGGAGAATAAAAATGTAATCTTGATTATGTATTCTGATTTTGATTGTGGGGTTCCTATCAGACAATTTATTTTTTACTTTTATATGCTTGTGTCAGACAAGGTATGTTTCTCAGTAAAAATTGGCAAGCTGGAAGCTACAATTCAGGTCAAAATTAACTTGAACCCTACCAACCTTGGAAAATGAAATAGTAAAGAAATGACAGCAGGACGTGCAGTTTTACATTGTTAGAGGTGTTATGCTCTGAAAAGACAACTACTTGATTATCAGTACGCCAGTAGCCGGTAGCCAGCACGGACGCTTTTTCTTAAAATCACCCTCTCCTCCATTTGCTGCTTTGTCCTAAGGATCATTTATTTGTCTGGGCAACATTATTTAGCTAACCTTTCCTGAAAAGTACAAGTGGTCAGGGAGGAAGCAAACATTTGATTTTTTCCCAAGATTCTCACCACGCATTTCCTTTGTTCTCCTGACCCCTCAGCCTACCAGGGGAAGACATCCATCAGTACCGTGGGCACCTCCACTTCTGCTTACCGCCTGAGCCTGGCCACCATGTCTCGCTCCAACACAGGCACGGGCACTGTCTGGGAGCAGGACAGTGAGCCCTCCCAGCAGGCTTCCCAGGACACCCTGAGTCGGACTGACGAGGAGGATGAGGAAAGTAAGTGACCCGGAAACATCCGCGCAGGAGACCCAGAATATGAGTTCACCACACGAGTGGGGCTTGGCAAGGATTTTACCCTCCTGACCTTTCCCAGTCGGATCCCTAGTCATTTTTACAAAGGGGATTCAGGGTGGAAATGTCACTGATTCCATGATTCCTAATACATTCTCTTCTACAAATTCCTTGATGTCCTCGGTCATTTGGAAAGAATTCAGGCAACAAGTAAATATTGAATGACTCCTATCTTTTCTTTGAGCTTATGTACTTCCACTAACTCATTTAAATTGTGGCTAAGTAATGAGGGAAAGTGCTTATTTCCCTTTCTCCTGGACATCTCCCGAAGGCTTGATCAGCACTTACCTGAGCCCATCGGGCAAGGAAAAGTGGGCAGTGCATTTGCTCAGGACTCAGAAAAAACTAATTGGCTGTGGCATTTGGTCTGTAAACCAGCAAACTGTCTTGAGGGATACACTCTAAATTTGAATTAAGAGACTGGTCAGGGACGAGGTCATCCCAGCAGCATCTGATACATGTGCGAGGGCCTTGAGGTTATGACATGAGGTGAGATCCAGTCAAGAAATATTTCGTATGTATGCCTAAGACATGGTTCTCAACCTTCCTAATGCTGTGATGTATTTTCATTGTTACAAAGGGGCTGTGACCCACAGGTTGGGAACTGCTGGCTTAGAGGAGGTTCTAAGTAAAAGTAGGGTGAAAGGGTCCATTAAATGCCACTAGCATTTAAAGGGTTTTTTAATTTCATCAATTATTTTCTGCTTGTATTTAGGACATTCTAATAGTAGATTTATAGCAACGCTGTGCTGTCAAAGGCTTAAGAATGAGAATAAACTCTAAATCTCCACTTGGAGCTTCTCCACACTAAACAACAACAAAAAGCCCCACTCTGAACTAAATTAAATAGAGGAAATGGGAGTTGAGGTTAGAATTTTAATTAACTAAGATGAATGAAAGTATTTTAATGTCCCACCACACTTGGGTATATAGGAGAGGAAAAGAAAGAACTGCTCTGTCAAAACACGTATCAACAGTAGTTCCAGATTGAGTTTCAGGGTCATGTCCACTGATAATCACATTGTTCTGCACTGAGCCTGTGGACACACCGGTTTCTATATCTCTCTGGTGATGGAGAAACATCCTGTTCTTGAAAATACACCGAAAGTTGTAATTAGGGAAATCATGAAAAATCTTGACTAAGAAAACATGATTGATAGAAAAGAAGATCAGCAGTATAAATATCCATCAAGTCCTGGTAATAGTTCAGAATGTCAAGTCTTATTTTCTTTAATGCTTCAAGTAGTCTCTCCTAGCATTTTTTTTTAAATGATGCTCCCTGTCTTTTGTAGAGCTAAATACATTTTGCAGGTAACTTTCTGAATAAGTAGATGAGCTAACCAGTAAGAAGGAGCTAGGGAAGAACAGTAGAGGAGAATAAATTTGGAAATTATTGGCCAAGAGCCAACACTCATGGCCTGATGAGGCAGGGGTGGGAAGGCGGGGAAGGATGTAATCTTTGCTAATATCTCTGTTCTCAGACATCACCACCGTCCCTGTGAAGGCAGGGCTGCTCATAAACGATGTGGTGATGTTGGGATAGAGAGGGATGAAAGCCAGTTCCTTGACTGCTTTGAATTAAACTGTTTTCCCATTCAGTCATCCAACCTGTATTCAGAACTGTGAGATATAAGGCAAGAAAGAAGGAAGGATAAGAAAGACATGTTCTCTGCTCTCTAGGATCACAGATACAGACTCGGGGAGGAAGCGATAGACATTGGCAATTAGGAACATTTAACAAAAGAGTTAATAGAAGACAGCACATGATTAATCATCAGAGAAGTATTGCAGTGTTATGTGATATACAAGAACAAACAAGGTGGGGGGGGGAATTAATGGGATCTGGGAAAAGCCTTTATAGAAATACATCAATGTATTCTACCAGGTTTTTCATTATTTTACGGTACATTTACTTATTGTTTTCCCTGTGAACACAATTAAAAACAAAACATTATCATTCTATAACAAAAAGCAATTTCAAGTCAGTCATTATATAGGAAATTAAAACTTCCAGCACTTTTCATGCTTATCTTTTTTATTTGAAATATGTCCCATGAGAGATACGATTCTAAGGGCGATTTTAAATAAATGGTGTCGGACGATCGTACTCTATGGTAGGTAGCAGGCGTTCTCTGAGCTCACTGTGTTTATCAAAGCATGTTTGTTTAACGTTGGTCAGCACTGAGGTCACTTAGAAGGAGGTCATCTTGTCAGAAATACCCTGCTAACGCTACCTTTCAGATGGGTTTGAGCACATTTACTTCTGCTTCTATGACCAGAACAAAATCACATACTTAAATTTTAAGTTAAACCTTTATTTATGAACTTCAGTGTTTTTCAGATATTTTTCCTAAAAATATCTAAAATCCAGGCATGGTGGCTCACACCTATAATTCCAGCTACTCAGAAGGCTGAGGCCAGGAGTTGGAGGGCAGGATTTGAAGACCAGTGTCTAAGAAAAAAAGCAAAAAACATCTGAAATAGTCTTTCCCTCAGCAGAGTCTAGAACTCAGTAAATGTACCGAAGCATTTAGGCCCCATTAAATGCCATCATCATTTAAAGGGTTTTTTAATTGCATCAACTATTTTCTGTTTGTGTTTAAGACACTCTACTATTACATTTATAGCAAAGTCGTGTTGTCAATGCCTTAAGAATGAGAATAAACTCTAAATCTCCACTCGGAGCTTCTCATTAAGGTTCTATTAAATGCCACTGTCATTTAAACGGGAAGTTTAATTGCATCATTTTACATTAAAAATGTACTTCCTTGACATTCAGTAACAAAGTCCTGGAAAGTTTTTAAAATATACAGGTTTCCCTGAAATCTTTAATTTACATATGCCTATCGACTTTCAGAAATAATCTACTTGTAAAATGGACAGGAAGTTTACATGATTTCATGAAGGCTGTTCTAGTGTTGAAGAGTAAGAGATGTCCGGACATGATGAATATCATTACCCCAAAGTTTGGGGTCCTCCCTTTAGAGACAGTTCTAAAGTTATACTCAAGGAAAGAACCCAAGTACAGCCTTGGTTGGGGTTTTCTGATCAGTATCATAGTTGTTTGTTTGTTTGTTTGTTTGTCTGCAGTTTTTGGCCGGGGCTGGGTTTGAACACACCACCTCCAGCATATGGGACTGGCACCCTACCCTTTTGAGCCACAGGCACCACCCAGTATCATAGTTTTTATAATACTGTGCCTTTGCCTCTTTCAGACGACTCCATAAGCATGCCCAGCGTGGTAAGTGAACAAGAAGCTTACCTCCTGAGCGCCATTGGAAGGAGGCGGTTCTCCAGCCATGTCTCCAGCATGTCTGCACCTCAGGCGGAGGTGGGCATGCTACCCAGCCAGAGGTAAAGAGCCATGGCTATATTATACTCCGCATTTGGGGGCACAGATGGAAATTTTGAAAATACACTCTTGTTATTCTACAAAAGCTGAAAGCAATGGTAATGTTTTTAGAGAGATCATTCAACAAAGGACTGTTCAACTAGGTTCCTACAGACAACAATTTGCAGTTTTCTAAGCCAGACTAGTAGGGGGGATCCCAATTTCTAATCTGAGCATTGTCTCCCCTGACAAATTTTCTGTAAATTCCATGGTCTTCTTTCTGGTTGACAAATGACATTCTTGTATTTCAGATTTATCATTAGCTAAGCTAAATAATGAGTACTTGACATGAATATAAGACTCGCTTGACATATTTGGTAAAGTTTTGGCTTCTGATATGTCATCAATATTTAGCCGAAGATAGTGATGCTTAGCCATGCAGAAAAGGATCCTTGCCACTATGCTTGACCTTGAGCAGGTTGTTTAACAATAGCCCATTGTATTCCCCTCTGTGGAATAAGTGGGTTGGCCAGAATGATCTTTTAATGTAATTTCTCAATCTCTAGTTCTATGGCTCCATGACTAAATCCTTTTGAACATTTTCTTTACATGTTCTCTGCCTTCTAAGAATGTAAGTAAAAAATCTTCCAAGATATATATACCTATGTACAGTAAAAATATTACACAGAAAATGATCTGACATAAGAGTCAAACATTGCCCAAGAACCAGCGCTATATTCACTTCAGGAATTGAATTATCTCAAAGAATTGGCTTTATATGGTTTGAGTTAGTTAGTTGCTTATTTTTAATACCTATAGAGTCACTGTGATACAAATCACACAAGGCACATTTTAATGCTTAGACAAAACCAGCTTTTATGCAGCAATTATTACCTTTACCCAAATCCTTTAGCAAATGGTGCAGGAACTCCAGAGATGGAATAAAACTTATGAAATAAAGCCCAAGTTTGGAGAATATCAAATAATAAAGGGAAATGATAAAGGATGATTAAGAAGTAAATTGTATCCTTTCTAAGAAGGCAACATTTTATGTACATGCCATTTAACTAGTACAAAGGTTAATACTGCAGAAAGCTTTCTTTCATCAAAAGAGATTCTTTCACCTACTATTTGGTGATTTTCCTTTGAAAAGAAAGCTGTAAAACAGTGCTAAACAATAACTTGTGCCAGAAAAAAAAAAAAAAAAGATGGAAAGCCATATAAAGAGTTAACGTTGGTAGCTATAAATTTATTTTTAATTGTTAGCAATGTGCAGAATAAAAGAAAAATAGCAATTTATTTAAAATTTTCATTCAAGTTATAGAATTGTGTCAGTTTTAACTAGAGTGTTGTGGTGGTGGTTGTCATTTACCTAAAATAACCAGGCCATCAGTTTTCTTTCTACATATCCATGAAGGGATTAACTTCTTTCCAGGGAGAAAATTTGTCCTATTATGGACATAGTAGAAATCCAGAAAAAAAAATATATAGTTTAACACTGTGAGTTTGACTCTTATTTTGGGAGACTACTTAAGGTAATACTGTCTCTGTGAGCTAGGGAACATGAGCCTCTTCCAGGGGATAGAGTTCTTTTTACGACATACAATCAGATAAACCTCAATTCTTTGGGGGGAAGCACTCCAGTCTTCTAAATAGTCTAAGTTCATCCAGTTTAATAGTATTTATTGAGTGCCTCATGGGTGCTCAGCTTAGTGCTCAGCACAGCAGAAAAGACAGGAGTATGACATGGTTTCCGTTCACAGACCTCAGTCCAGCTCATACAAATAAACCGATAGACTAATTATTCTCTCACCAACCTGACAGGTTTCTTCTTTGAGCATTTACAATTCAGTTACTAGAGGACGGAGAGTAAGGAGGTAAATGAGAGTTCCATGTGAATTTTCCAAGATACCTTCCTTCCGTTTGTTTACTTGCATTTTCATTGCAAAATTAGCAGAGGAAGTTGGGTTCTTTGCTTTTCTTAATGGCATCAGTTCCAAGAGCTTGGTTGTGGCAGTGCATGGTAAGTGGTTTCTGTATGATAATGTCAGAATGCACAAGATAGAAGCAGGGCCCTGGCCAATGAAAACACCATGTACATAAGACCGTTTAAAAATAATAACCTCCTAGCCCAGTGGTTATCCAAGGAAAGGGTAGTTTCCTCTTTTACAGATTCATTCTGCAATGCGTTTCAGAGCTCTGAGTCCATTTGGAGCTCGTTTTAATTCTTGATCAATAAATAGATCACACTCCTCTGAGACCTAAATCCATCCAAAGTCCTTCCTCCCCCATTGCCTTGAGTCCTATGTCTTGACAAACCCAGCACAAGGTGAAATGGTTGACTGTCTCCTTTTCCTTCCTTGTTCTGTTAAATCTACTTATTTTTGGTTTTTGGAAGCAGAAAATTGCATGCATTTTTTCCTTTTTTTTTTTTTTCATTTTCTTTCCCTAAATGCTTCATCTCCCTACCCCTCCTGCAGTGAACCTAATGTCCTCGATGACTCCCAGGGCCTGGCCGCCGAGGGCAGCCTCTCTAGGTACAGTGTCAATGCTACCTGTCTATTGGTGTCTGTGCTGGGAAACGAGCTGTTCCCTGTCTCCTCTGTCTCTCTGTCTTCTCCGTCTCTTCTCGCCCGTCTTGATATCTATTTCCATTTCTTGCCCTTTGTTGTTCATGAACATACAAGCCTGGAAGTCAAAGGTGTAGTGAACCCCCCTTCGTTTTCAGCTTCAGAGCTCTGCCACCCGTGGCCTAAAAAGCTTATGAAAAACAATGACAAAAATAAATGTGGAATTTTCTAGTGGGCTTATCTTACGGGTGTCTAAAACATTTGATATACAAAATGTTAAATTTATCCCTCGTAATCATTCCTTCCCACGCTGAAATTCATTAAGGTTTTTCAGAGGTCCTTTAATGTAACTCTTCTTCATTGAGAAGCTCCTTACTAAATCCAGACAGGTCTTTTCGCCAATACCATGATGAAAAGGAAACAATGATGCTGTAAGAAGAGTAGCAACGTGGATCAAATTGACATGGTGTAATCCTTCTATTTGGTGCATGCTCTTTGACAGGCCTCTTATTGTAGCTTGTTCAAACAGCACTTATATAGTGTCTGCTGTAGCACCAAGGTGACTACCAAACTTGCCATGAATTGTCAGACACAAACATTTCTTGGTAAGTAAGAGAAGTCTTACGATGCGGATGAAATGATGCCTTGACTGATAGTTAAAGATAGTTCAGAAAAGGGGACTGCACCTTTAACACTCAGATGAATCACGTCAAACATTCCTAATCTTGTGCTGTTGATTCACACCTCTCAACTAATCCTCATTAGGGGTAAGGCTTCTTGTGGTCATCCTTAGTGTCTTTGTTCCATCTCCAGAGAAAACATTCCCTTTCAAGTTGGCATTTTATAGTCAGTGCAACATGCCCGTGTTTATTGCTTTATCACAAAGATGAGGAAATGTTGAGAGGCTGTTCCTGTGAAAGGTTGTCTTTTGTTTCTTTACATCTCGTTCAGATTTCACATTTTCTTTTGCGATTGAAAATGGGAAATATAGTCCATCATTGAGTGTATTTTTTTTTTTTATTTACCAGCTCCATACTTCATGACATTCGTGTTTGCGAGCCCTTGCCTTCACTGATCAGTCTCTTACCGGTGGTACATGTGGGAGTGCTGCGGAGTGCAGACAGTTCCATTAGCAGGAGCGTTGAGGGCAAGGAGGAAGTGTAGGAACAAAATGATCCTCAAGAGGGCGTCCCTTAAGCGTCCACAGTGTTTGAAGAGACTGGAACCAAGTCTAGCAGGGTGACTACTGCTTTCCAATAATGTACTACTTAATGCTTAAAATTATATATGGGATAGGAGAACCTTGATTAGAAGATAATTTCAGTGACCTACTGAATAGAAAAGATTAACAAGTACTTCCATTTAGCTGGGTTTATGCTGGGCTGTTCTAATTAATTCTACTCTTGATAAGTAAGTACCAGTTCAGGCTTGGTGAGAGGAGGCAAGAGTTTGAGTTTAGCTTTATGAACTCTCCAAAGGATTTGGCCCTCTCTGGCAGACTCAGGGTTCAGGTGACTGATTTGTAGCTACCTTAAACCAACTTAGTCTCCCCCAGTCTCCTCTGGTTCCAGTATCAATGAAAATAAACTCAAAAGTTTTTGCTATGTGAGATAGGTTCAGAGGCAAAGATACAGATTCTGTCTCTAGTTGAATTAATAAATCATGTCAGTAATTTGATGATGTCTTAGATCAACTGTTTTTGATCTGTTGTTCCATAAATGTCTGTTTTAGTTCTGGGTATCAGTCACCCAGACCCAGCTGCGGTCATTAAGAACTGGAAAGATAAGGCATTCATTTGGATTCTGAAATAATCATTTTAATGTAGAGGCATTCCACCAACCAGTAGCACATCCACCTTTGCCATACCCTGCAAATCGTATCTGTTAAACTCCATCATGTCACCAACTTCTCTTTGGAGGAGAGGAACTTTTGGCATTTCATAGGAGGTGGGTTTACAAAATAGGATCCCTGCCTTTTTATATTTGATTTCCAGGTTTTCCTGTTTTTGGCATAAGAGTTCTTTATGCTGCAGACCCTTAAAATCCTAAAGCAATAAGGCATTACCAGGTAAATTACATTCAGCACATACTGCAATACTCAGGACATAAAATATACTCAAAGTAGTCCCAAGAAAAATCTGCCTCAGAATATCAGGAAGCATGCCTAAGGGGAAATAATGAATCCTGATCCTCTCCCCCAGCCCCCTGCCCCTATAACATTTAACATGTTCTCTTTCATGAGAATTTGCTTTTGAAAAATACATTTATTTGGCTCAGCGCCTGTGGCTCAAGTGGCTAAGGCGCCAGCCACATACACCTAAGGTGGCAGGTTCGAATCCAGCCCAGGCCCACCAAAAACAACAATGACAGCTACAACCAAAAAAGCCAGGCGTTGTGGCGGGCGCCTGTGGTCCCAGCTACTTGGGAGGCTGAGGCAGGAGACTCACTTGAGCCCATGCATTAGAGGTTGCTGTGAGCTGTGATGCCACAGCACTCTACCCAGGGGGGACAGCTTGAGGCTCTGTCAAAAAAAAAAAAAAAAAAAACATTTATTTTAGCAAAGAGGGTAAGGTGACTAAGTGGGCTAAATAAGAAAGCGACCAAGATAACCAGATGAATAGGTAGGAACCAAGAGAATTGTGTACACCTCTTGAAAATTACTTCAAGGATTTCTTTTCTTTCCAACTGAAACACTTCCTTTAGAATACTTCTAGAATTTTTAAAAATCTGTGCTGTTTCTTTTAAAGAGTCACCCTAAGAAATAGCCTGTTAGCAACACTGTGCTCTGGAGAAAAGATTCTTTCATTTCTAGAAATTAATAAACTGAAATAATGTTCCATGGGAGAACTCTCTTCTCTAGGGAGTGTTGCTCTTAGAGGTATAAAAACTCACTATACGTGTTTCTTCCCTATGCCTGCCCCCAAATGTACACATACTATGGAGGTATTTTCTTTCCAAAAGAATAGAGACATTCAGAGGTTATTCAAGCACTTAAGGCCAGATGTATAATTATAATTAGATTTTGGTTAGACATGTTAGAAAATTTTGAAAGGCAAGAATTCAGTTAACTCTGATTTTTTAAAAATGAAATTATAATGCTATTTGTATAAGAGTAACTTTAAATCACAGTGAAAGATAAGAATGTTTTAATAAGACAATATAGTCTAAGATGAAATAAAAATAGCTGATCTAGTACAATCCATCATATCATCATCCACACTTTCCAAGTATAAAAACTTGGCAAGTACTTTCAAAGGACAAAAAAAAAAAAAAAAAAATTTAAAAAAACCTTTTTAGGTAGTTGGGAATCCATGGCTAAGAAAAAGTGTGTTGTGATACACAAATTGCTAAATCAGTTCTTACAGCATATCTGGGATCCAGATTATTCCCTCTTTCAATCTGATTCCAGCCTCTAATCTCTAAATTTTACGACACCTAAAATATATTTTCTTGGATTATGTGGCGGCTAAGTAAATCTTAAACAATCATCTTTTATTAGGAGGGGAAATCAGGATTCAGTCTACTGTTCCTTTCCCTGTTCTCTGCAAATGCCTCATTGCTCCTTTGCCAGCTTTATGCTTTCTTACCACAAGGGAATCACTCAATAAATGGCTATGCTGTGTATCTTGTGTTTCTCCCTTACGTTTCTCTGACTATATTAAAATTCAAACTAAAAGCCCAGATAAAGCAAGGAAAATACTAACTTACTTTTCCATGTGCTGGTCTTACCCAGTGCGTCTACCTAAAAATTTATTTTATGAAATATACTTCAATCTACTTTTTTCCATAATACTGAGATGAATGATATGAATTTTTATTGCATTACTGAATGGGCCTTTGTTCATCTATTGTTTATTTTAACAACTATTAGGTATGTGTTCCATTAGGAAATGCATACATATTTATATACTACAATCCAGGCCGTCATGCTGAAACAGGGGAAAAGAAGTAATTTGTATCAGAATTATCTTCCTAACCTTGTCTAAGTTTCCTTAGTTTGTAAATTACTTCCTCGCATTTCAAATAATGTGTTTTTGCTTTTTGTGGACAATTTAAGTCACCAGTTATGTCAAACCGCCCCCCCCCACCGTTGCATTTATTTCTCTAAAACCTAGACCGTGAGACAGTTTTGCGTGGTGATATTTTTCAGTGATTCAAAAATACGAGGGATGATTTATTTCTAAATATATTAGAAAATATTTAGCCTCAATTTAGAAAGCTTTATTTGTTTATATCCTTGTTGTTTCACCTATTACTTAGCCCAAACAGTAGAAATCAGCCCTATTTCATTCCTAAGAATAAACACTGCAGGAGAAACATTTTTGTCTCTAAGATATAGTTTTTAGAATTTGGTTCATTACTCCGACATATCTCAACACATTCTCAACTTTTCAGAGTTATTTTTTATGACTGTGCTACATGAATTAGCTATTTTAGTTATTCAAAAGGATTCAATGGCCTATTGGAGTATATTTTAAAATTTGAGACTCTCACATAAAACAGTGTTGCCCAAAAGGGGAAAATCATTTTGATTATTGCAGTTGAGGTAGATGAGGACTATAATGGGACTGTTTAAAAAATTTCAAATAAAAGCTGGGATAGAAGATAGAGTGGTGCTTAATGCAAACACCTGGGTCTTGTCTTGGTTCATTTTAGTCTTGCATATCTTAATCATGCATCACAAAGCTTCAGATGACTGAGATATCACATGATGTGAAGAGAAGTCAAATTTAATATATTTTTTATATATGACTTCAATCTGATATCGATTCCAGAAAAAGAAACATATACTACATTCCTTCCATTGTTAACTTTTCTGGCTATTTTTCTTATTCTTGTGTCCTAACTGTATACAGTCAAGCCAGCCTTTGATATTCCAAATAAAAAAATCACGCTTTTAGGGAGAGAGTAATTTATCAGCTGGGATATATTTCTAAGGGCATGATTTTTAATTTCAACTTTAATGTACGCATTCTCTGATAAAATGCGATATTGCTTTCACAGAACTAAAACTATATATTTGACACATTTTTTAGATACAAGCCTCTCTATCCATAGAGAAAATTTTGATGCTTATGATCCTTTTGGAATAATCATCATAAAGTTACCATTACATTTTGACATTTAACCCTCCCTGAGTAACATGTATGACTTTTCTTTTCTTGAACCATTTTTTCTCACAATCTTAGATAACCGAATAAAAATGAGACAAATGGACTGCCTCGATTTCATTTTTCTCTGGCCAATTATTTTCAAACCGTTTTATTATTGACTTCCTTTTAGTATTATAGAAGCAATAAACTCATTACAAATCAAATGTAAAACAAGAAAAGCATGCTATATACATCACTTTTCATGTTCAGAGCCATTTTACATCCGTTGACTTCTCTTCTCTACCTTAATGGGAGGTGGTTGGTAAGTATTAGCCTCCCTTTATGGCCAAGGGAACTGAGGTGAAGAATCCATTCCAATAAAAGCTTTGCTTGGTATTGGGAGAAACTTGGTTCTACTTTTGTGCCTATGGTTATTGAATACTCTTTCCAATTTAACAGACACATGTTAAAATGTATAACTAACAAGGAGATGTCATTTCAAACATGCTAGCAATAGAGTTTGGATTGCTTATCAGAATTCATTGCACTGTTCCTTTGGGGTCACGTTCCTTCTTCCTAGAAAGGTCGTGTATATGCTACAAGGTTACATATGTATAAGGACAATGTACATTGATCTTTTGAACTGGATATTTAGGCGACCAAGAGAACTCAAAACATCTGTTTTGGTACTCTTTATGGGATTTTGTCATTTTGCACCCCAAATGCGGTAATTACATCTTTATTTCATAAAAATCTTGATGAGCCCCATTTGGGAATCATTGATCTTCCAGTGGAAATGTAAGACTTTTAAAAGATGTCAGATGTGACTGTGTTGACAATGTGCTCATTAACCAACTGTTCACACAAAAGGGGAAACACCTGATGGCCCATCTTGCCACCAATTTCTCTCCCTAAACCTGCAGCTAGGCACTTAAATAGTTCATTCAAGAAAAAAAAAATGGAAATAAATAGATTTTCTTGGACAGATGCTGACTCTGGATTCCTCTGTAGAATATTTTACTCTAAAACTATCTGTAGAAGACTCTCCTTTTGCAAAGGCAAAGCAAAAATTAATTGCCCATTAACCAAATAATCACATTGGCATCATCCACAGAATAACAGTGTTCTCTGGGGTGCAGTCTATTTCTTTTTCACCCCCCTGTCATTGTAAATATCTATTATACATGCATGCAGAATGAAAAAGAACCATAGGCCCATATCAGTATTTTCACCTTCACCCAACACTAAACTAGCAACTACTTCCAATCATTTTTGCATATAAAAGACACATATACACAGTAAATTTGGGGGGAGCAGGTTGTTGCTTTTATAAACTGCACAGTGTGTTTGAGTGCAGTGACTCAACATTAAAGCTCCTGAGTTGTACCGATAGCATAATGACTTTGCCAGCCTTTGAAATCTAAAGTCATGAAGAAAACATTAAATTGTCTACCCACGTGACTATTCATTTATTCAGTAGTCACAGAGACTTCAGGCTGCAAACATGTGTTGACTGTGCCCCTTCACCCAAATGGATTCTGTGTCTGATGTGTTTGATATCTGTCCATCTTACTTTCATTTAAATTTAAATTTTAAAAAAGGTGTTCCCATCCATGTAATAGAGTTGTTTGTGTTTGTTTGTCACCACCTTTTCCCTTCCCCTTGGAAAAAAAAAAAATTGAGATTAGAATATGACATCTTCAACCTTTTGGTGGCTTCCAAACCAGGGGTGTGATAGAACCAATGTTTTGCTGAATAATAGATGTGGCATCAGTAATTGAAAACTGAATCTCAATTTTGGCAGCTTGGGGCTACAAGGCCTTTTCCTCCCTCCCAAACCTTTGAAAACCCCCATCCCAGGGACTCTTTCCCAACCATCCTTCAAAGATAATGGTATCTTTGAAGTGACTGTGTCATATAAGTGATTTTGCCTTACACCCACCAGAGAATGGTCTTCTATATTCTTTTCAGGGTGCACTAACACTGTTGATGCTTGACAGGGTGGCAAGCGTACAAAGTGAACCTGGCCAACAGAACCTCCTTGTTCAGCAGCCACTGGGGAGGAAGAGGGGCCTGAGGCAGGTAAGCAGACCCTGAACAGGCAAGAGAATCATCTTGTGAAATGGAAGCTCTATGCAATTTTTAATGCCTATGTATATTAAGATTATATTTGGCCTTCTCTGTACCCGAAAAAAGCAGTATAGAGCAACTTATAACATGGTAAGTGCTTGGGTGCACGCTGAGCATTTTAAGCCTCTCTTTTAGCTCTGAATATTCTTACTGACAAAGCTGATTACTCAGTAAAGTAAGTGAGCCTATAATTCTATTTGTTCCCTATCCAGAAACTTTCTTTCCAAGCCACTTACTGACAGAGATTTGTTATACAGTTTATTAATGCCTGCTTCTGCATAGAGGCAAAGACAAAGAGGAAGTCTTTCCTTCCTCACATCAAGATTAAGGATTTAGTTCAAAACAAATAGAAGTAAAGGTCATCTTTACCTGTTTCCTCAGGTGGAATTCTTTGAAGTTACTTTCTAAATAAAAATCTCAATGAGGCTTTTCACTGTTGCTTCAGTGGGAGACTCCCAGTAGGGATTCAGGTACCACATGCTTGGCCAGCAGTAGGCATGGTTTTTTGTTTGTCCGTTTGTTTTAAATAAACCTCTTCTTTGAAAGTTAGCCTATATTCAACAACAACTTTTAGAGGAGCAAAGTTGATCAGTAAGCCATGGTTATTAATTTAGCATCCTAAAATCTCAAATTTACAATCTAAACTATATTAATTAATGTTATTGCCACATATAGAGGAGTAATAGTTGGGAGATGAATTGGTTAAAGATGCCAGAAGAAAATAATTGTAGTTAAATAAGCAGAAAGTTTATCAGCTACCAACGTAAGTAGCAAGCATTAACAGTACACAGAAACATAAATTTAAAACACAACAACTGTACAGTCAGAATCTGCTGAGCACAGTGTTTCCTCCTAGGGAGTCAAACCCTCTTGCAAGTTTTATTTTGCCTATTCTATTTAGCTGAGACGTCCTCTATTATCACGTCAGAAGACTCAGACAGAACCAAGAAACCGACATGCAGCTCGGCTGTCAACCACTCGCAGGAGCATTCAACCTAAAACGAAGCCATCTGGTGAGGCCTCCTGTGTCCCTCTGTCTATACCCCTGATGTGATGCCATACAGCGCAGCAAGGAAGGCCTGCAAACCCTGAGCCCATGCAGACAGGCCTCCTGTGTCCCTCTGTCTGTACCCCTGATGTGATGCCATACAGCGCAGCAAGGAAGGCCTGCAAACCCTGAGCCCATGCAGACAGGCACACCTGTAGGGAAGTGCGCAGACAAGGGAGGAAGTTTCCCAGAAAACTGTAGTGCCTTTTTCTTCTCACCTTCTCCAGCCCCTCTCCCTAACCCTGTGAAAGTAGGTAAACGGAAGAGCCCAAGGTAAACCACTAATACAATGAAATTTGGCGATAGAGGCTGTGTTTTCTTTATTCACAGCAGGAACTGGGTTTGTTACATGTCTTACTGAGGATAAGGGTGTGATGAATAATGGGGACTTTTAAGTCCTATTGGCAGCTGTTATGAAGAATGCTAAAGTTCCACTTAATGCTTTATGCAAATCTTGCTTAAGGCCAGTTATGGAAAAATGATTTTACTCAAGTCCTACTCTTTCTAAGAAGAGGGAATCAAACATACACAAACACGCTCTCATTTATTAATAAGCCAGCAATGTCTTTATTCGAAAAATCTAGGAGACACTGTTTAAAACCTATTATGAAGCACTAACAGAATATTTCCCTACCTACTGCCTCACCTCTGACCTACAGCAGATCAGAAACGATCTGTGACCTTCATTGAGGCTCAGCCAGAGCCAGCAGCCGCCCCAACAGATGCACTTCCTGCCACGGGTCAACCTCAGGGCTGCAGCCCCGCCCCATCCAGGAAACCAGAAAAAATGGACAATCCAGTCCTCACGTCTTCCCCTGCCATAGTTGTTGCAGATCTCCACAGTCTGTCTCCCAAGCAGGTAAGGGCACTAAAAAATAGGCAAGGCTTGCTCACTGCATACTTATTTCTAGAAACCACTTAGAATATGCAAATTTCTTCTACATAATCAAGTCTGAATCTGTGGTGCTATTATCCATACAGACCCTGGTCCTGGCATCATGAAAAAGAAAATCTATGTAAACCCTATGGCCAAGAATATATCTACTTAAGAAGGACCAAGAGAAGTCTTGGTATTTTTATATATAAAAAAAACCTAAAAGCAAAGACTTAACAGCTAAAACAGCCATTAAATATTTATGAAAAACCTAAAAGACTTAACAGCTAAAATAACCATTGAAAACAGGCATATACAAGTCGAGCATCCTTAATATGATAACCCAAAATTTAAAATGCTCCAAAATTCAAATCTTTTTGAGTGATGATATGACTGACACATAGAATGCTTTAAAATGCTTACTGAAGCACTTCAGATTTTCAAAATAGTGATGCTTACCTGGGTAAGTATATAATGCAAATATTGCAAAATCAAAAAATATATATATGAAATATGAAATACTTCTGGTTCCAAGCATTTCAGATAAGGTATATGTAATCTGTAATACATCACTGAAAAATAGGTCAATTAAAAAGTAATAAAGGGCCAGGCACAGTGTCTCACACCTGTAATCCTAGCACTGTTGGAGGCTGAGGTGGGTGGATTGCTTGAGGTCAGGAGTTGGAGACCAGCCTGAACAAGAGTGAGACCCCATCTCTACAAAAAATAGGAAAAAACTAGCAGGGTGTTGTGGCAGTCACCTGTAGTCCCAGCTACTCAGGAGGCTGAGGCAAGAGAATCACTTGAGCCCAAGAGTTTGAGGTTGCTGTGAGCTATGAGGCCACAGCACTCTAGCTAATGGCAACAGAGACAGACTCTGTTTCAAAAAAAAAAAAAAA